AGAGTAAGGGAAATAAAAACAAAAGTAAACAAGTGGGACCTGATTAAACTTAGATATATACACATATATATGGATATGTGTATATATATATATATAGTACTGAATTTTAGTTAACAAGTGGCATCACTGTGTTCAGCAAATGTTACTTATAATATTTAAGAGGAAAATTAATTCTTTTAAGCCAGGGCAAAACAAAACAAAAGAACAGAACTATAAAAAGACATGTTTCTAACTGGTGGTTTATAGCTCAGTTTTTAGTGATACCACACACTCCTTAGAATTCCCAAGACACAGATCGTTTTTCCTCATTGTATATTACATGAAACATCTTCAATACACAAATATTGAACTATTTCACCAATTGGGTTCATTATTTTTAGACTATTCCTGAGATCCTTTGGGGGTAATATTTGCAAGGCAATTTTGCTAGATGTACTGTATTATCTTACAATGTCAAAAATTTTAAATGAACTATTTTTCCAACATCTAGAAGGCTTCAAATAGCAAAATTCAAAGTGACATTGTGCTATAATAATTCATGAAAACACTGACTCTATAAATTAATGATATTCCACAACCTACTAAATTGATAATAGAAAATATAACATCAGGATGAAATTTTTAAAAGAATCAAATTAAATTAACAGCTAACATTTTTAATGCTGATTCAATCTTTCTAAAAAATTTCATACCACAAAACATTTGCTTTCATGAGTTAAGTACAAAAATCGTATCTTTCAGAAACTACAATTTTAATACAGATGTGCTATGCCACTAACATTCCTTTATATGTTGAGTTTTCCTATTACTTAAAATGAGAAATAACATCTTAAAAATACAACAAATTTTCAGACAGATATTAATGTATAAGTGAAAGCTTAGGGCTCCTCCCACAACTGAGGATATAGAGAGATAAAATATAAAAAACCCACAACAGTAAGTAGTATGACAAATACAAATATCACAACTTTAAAGAAAAACACGTTATGCGTTAGCAACTCTTTGACAATACTAAAACCAAAACAGCACAATGTAATTGACAGCTATGGTTATTAAATTCAACAACACTGCAAATTATACTTTATTTTCTACTTGTTATATTTATATTTACCCACTAATTTTGCCTTAAAACATATGCCAATAAATTTCTAAGAAGAAAAGAGTACAGACTGCAACTTTCAGAGGCTATAACAAAAGTATTCATTCATTTGTACTACTAATACGATAATACTCGTCCATCAACAATGTAAACAAAACAAGTGATCTAGTTTAAACTTCACAAACCCCTATTTCTAAAAGAATGATCATTCTTACACAATCCCAGTCCTAAAGGCTAAATTGGCTAGTGAATGTTCCCCCTGTCAAAATTAAGGCAATGTGGGATTATTTCCTTCACTAAAAGAAAATTTCACTTACATTCTGCTTTTTCTTGATTTTTAAAGATTTCACATATAAATAGTTTGCGATATTTTAAAAAAGCACCACCCAAGTTGGACTGAGATAAAATTATGATGCAATAAAATCTAGGGATAATGGGTTCAAGTTTTAAGGACCAAAAAAAGTAAGTAATTTATATTAAAGGTGATCCAGTTTTATAAACACATTTATGAAAACAGTTTAAAACACACACACACACAAACATACACATATACAAGTATATGCTAAGATTATAAGAGAATTCCTGTTTGATATAATGAACATTTCGGGTCATATAACAGAATAAGTAAACTATGAAGTATTCTAAAATCTTGAAAATGTTTATTTTACATACCCTATATTATTCCCAATGAATAATGTATTCAATAAACTTTCCCAATTATCTGCCTGAATCATTCATTAAATAATTTTAACTGATAAAATCAATCTACTTATTAACAAAATCTAAACAATCACATCTTCAGATGTCAAATAAAGGAATAAAATAATACCATCCTATGGCCATCCTGAAAATGCATACAGTAATTATTTCCCAAAATGAGAAAGCTGTTTTATATTAAAAGGTAGTAACTTTGGGTAACCTAATTATAAAAAGGATATATAAATAAGTCAAATTAGGTTGCTTTAAACAAGTAAGAATAAAAGATATATTCACAAATCACAGGTTATAAGTTAGTATTTCGTAAGATTTAGATTTTTAGGAATAGATAAATGAATTACACAGCACTGCAAAAAGTCAAATGAATCTACTCATAGATCTTTTTTCCGATTACAGTAACTGATAAATATACTTTACAATTCTCATCATACAATTCCCCAAAATATTTAATATATGGTCATGCTAAAATACACAATGCAATCTATGGTTCTATAAAATTCCAAATTCATACCAATTAAAGTACAAAAATGTTTTCTTCATCTCAACCATAAATATAAAAAAATTACTCAAAAAACAAGGTGCTTAAGATATTTTAAAGATATAACCTGAGGGGGAAAGAAAGTAAAACAAATATGATAAATATGAGATTATACTGGCTATCGTAAAAACAATGCACATATCATTTGAGCTGAAATTTAATAAAACATCACCAAAGTGTGTCTGTACCCTGCAATATACACCTTGAAGAAAGTTTTTCTCAAATACACTGGTATTCTGACTAAACCTTCCAAATAGAATTACGTTGTTTTAAAATTTAGATAATTTGAGAAAATCCATTAAGTTACACAACTGAAGCACACTTTTCCCCAAATACTCTGTCTTACAAATAAGAAACAGAAAAATGCTCCATGAAATAAACATTCTAATGGAATGTAAGAGTCATACGTACATATATGAAATACACAAAAAAGAGCATCTCATAAATCATAGTTTTATCATTTATTTCATTTGAGAAGATTAAGCTAAGTATTCACAAAGTGTATCTGAGTAACAGAAGTTGAAAGTAGCTCAGAGGCTGCTACGTTGAAGAATACTAGGACTTTATATAATTCCACAGGCTTATGGTCAAGTATGAACAGAAAGACTACTAAAATTAAACTCTATCAGAAGAAGAGAGATGTATCTATCTGTGCAGGTAATAACCTAGTTAAAACCATATTTAAATACAAACTCTTCAGAATTATGAAAGCTTCTTATAAATTACAGGGCTTTATTTTATCCTTAAAATTGTTTCCATAGTTTGTGATTGGTTTCCACCTGTTACAGGCAGAATATAAGCCTTCTTTTATTCAGACATTTCAACTCACATTTGATCAGGTTACGTCACTACACACACAATATTTTCTTCAACACATTCCAGTTTTCCATTTTTTCCAATGGATATTCTTGCTCTATATAAATAACATGCCTCAGAACTATAAATGATATAAGCAATTTCAATGTAATAAGAAAAAATGCACAACTATGTGGACTAAAAACAAAAGATCTAATTCCAGTTGCACCCTTTCCAACCCGCTAAAAATAAACTATATTCAAATGAAAAGGCATTTAATTTACTATTTGGAATATCCTTGATAAACACCAATTTTGTGTAACATCTCTGCACATCTGATACCACCTCATGTATAATGCAAAAAAAGCTATTTCATTTTCATCTATTGACAGTGAATTTAATTTACCATTGCAGCTCTTTCCCTAGAACTATAACGTTATTAATTCCGCAATCAAGCTCTTTTGAATGCTTTTATTTGTACCAAGGATTTTCACAATTCCACATTGATTTTTTCCATCATAACATACCTTTTAAACATAAGAATGAATATGTTAGCAAACTTTCCTAATGCATAAGGAAAGTTTCAGAGATAAGGAAAGCCATCTACAAAACTACACTCACAGAAAATAAACTTTTGAAGGATATCATATCTAAGAGATTATACCTTAGTTTAGCAAGTGTAATGTTTACCAAATATAGTACATTTAATTTATATAACTAAATGATAGTTCCAACCAATCTAAAACCTTCTTATACAGTATAATGGTCCATTTTCTACAACCAAGCGATTGGCCTCCAAATGTTTTGCTTACATTCATGCCAGATGTCTTTGCTGTACTAAAGAACTCTTAGTGAATTAGATCATTGAAAGCAAATCAGCTTTTATTTCCCACCAAGAAAAAAAAAATAAGCAGCACTGGTCCTCTCAGCACTGAATAAATATTTTTATGGTCATAAAGATGAAATAATCAAAAAACATGGCAGAAACTTCATGAAGGTAAACACAAATAATGTTTTATCTAGGAGATACACTATTCAATTATGGAGATTTTCCAATTTAACTTAAAATCCATATACTAAGTAGAAAATGATTTTTAAAAAGATAAATACTCAGAACTATGAAACAGTTGAAATTTTAAAAAACACACTGTAAAGTACAAAAAAAAATATACCCTAGGAAACTTGCCATATTCCACTAGATTACAGTACCTACAGTACCACACAAACTGTTAACATATTTTGATCAAACACAGCTTTTAAATAACACAAATTTTGAAGCATGGTTCTACTTCTCACATAATAATATATTTCCTTGTCACAATTAAATTAAAAACACAATATTTTAAAAATCTTTAGAGGAAGCACTTGTCCTCTTTACTCCAGGGCCAACAAACAAAGCAATGAAGCAGAAAGAGGTACATAATGGATTTAGAAAGTAAATGGTCCATTCTTTTAAGAAGCCCTTCTATCCCCTCTTCTGAATTCACTCTAGACTAATTGTCATTACAATTATGTCTGAAAACTCCAGAAGAACCCTATTTCCTGATGCCAGCTGTCCAGGTTTCTATCTTTAAATTTTAGTTTTTTTAATCAGAAAGAAGTAGTTAGAAATACCCAGAAGATTCATTTCGAAATTGGTCTACATCAGAGATGGAATATCAATTATAGAAACCAAAGGTAATCAAGAGTGAAAATACTTCTAAAATTATTCCACAAATACTCTAATACATCAAATACCTAAATAAAGCCTACACTATTAAGAATTCTTTCAATACAGCACACGACACAGGTAGATCTTTTTTTTTCTTTCCTTGGGGATTTATCAAACAATCTCTTCATCATTGCACCTACCTGGGTAAAAATCTTTGGACTTAGACAGCTTGATGGTGGCTCCAGTTTCTTTTTGCAATTGAACAATTGTCTGTCCTCCCTTTCCAATTATAGATCCAGCAGCATAACTAGGTATGAGAACCTTTAGAAAATACTGGCCGTCTTCTGAAAAATGCAAAGAAATACACTCCGTTAAAACAATAATTTTAAACTTTGTACCCTCCCTCCACCCTCGAGAGAGAAAAACAGCGATTAAACCACTGGGCATATAGCTGCAGGAAATATGGGGTTAAATTGTTTTTATAAAGAACAAAAATAAGCCAATTACACTGAAAAATAAGTAAGTATGAAATGTTTCCCATTTTGTAGAATTTATACTTTTTCTAACTTGGAATTAAAATCTAAACATGTTCTATTATTTTGCAACACTGTAGAAACTGATGACTAAATTCCAGTTGTTATTCCAAACATGGAAGTCTTCCAATTCTATCTGTGGTTACTATGGTAAAAGAAAACGAACTGACCCTTCAACAAAACTTCAGAGATTTATGACAAACCTTCACTTAACATACTACAAAATAAATAAATAAAAGGACGGTAAATAGTGATGAGCTATATTTATTTGACACGAGCAAACACACAAGCACTACAATTAGCCATTGCCTGTATCCTACTTAAAGTATGCAAAACAACCATTCTCCTACCAAATAATCCACCCAAACTGTAGGGTGTATTCCAAGCCTTCAATAACTGCCAGGAAATAACTCAAAGTGATGTGGACTAGCAAATCTAACTAATCCTGGAGTATTTCTTTAGCACTCCTTAGTCTACTATGATCTCGTTTAAGCTCATTAATTAAAGGACCTTAAGAAGAATTTTGCCAATACTAAAAAGCTTAGGAGTCATTTACATCAAATACACTTAAAAGTGACCAGATAATGTTCCTTCTCCGAAAGAATCACAATTATTAAAACGGAGGGGGTGGATGAACCAAAAAAGACCGAAATGAGATGTTTTAGAAAATAAAGCCAACTCCCTAAACTTTAATTTCCGTCAAACTGATGGTGTCTTAAATAGGAAACACCCCGGTAAATCCAGCTTCCTTATGTGAATATGAACGTTCCAAATTTTTCGGGTGTGCCATTCGCCAAGACCCCCATCCGGCTCTAAAGTACAGGCTGTAGATAAATTCACCTCTGCCTCGATGCATTGGGTGCATTGTTAAGATGACTCCAGTGCAAATGAAGAAGCGGTACCGGTCCCGTTATAACTCATCTTCCCGGGAAGCGCAGGATGTTAACTAACAAGTCACAGTACCAGACACCCCCACCCTCGTATGCACACCCCTGAAGACAAATCAAAGAGATTTTTGCACCGACAGTATAAGTGCGGTAAGAGCATGCACTCTTCAAGATTTTGCGTACTACTTGTGGCCCAAACCAAGGGGATGAAGAGAGCAAAACTCTCCGGTGCCCCAGTCATTCGCTCTCCGCTACCCGAGTGCCATTTATTTATTTATTTTATCCGACTGTTAAATGCAGCGCGCATCTTCGGGCGGCCATCACCTCGCTCAGGGTCATCCTCTTCCTCCTTAACGGACCCCCTGGCCCAGGTCGAGGATATTTAAACGGTCAGCCTTTCGACCGAATTAAAGGGAAAGAGAGGTCTGTTCCGAAAAACCCGGTCGCCATTTTGATGAATGATAAAACACAGAAATGGAAATGTACGGGACCGGCGAGGTGCGGGGCAGGTGCAGGGGAGGGGGCGCGAGGCAGGGCGCGGGAGCCGCCGGCTTCGGGCTGGAGGTGTCCGGGCCGCGGGAGGGAGGGAGGGTGGCGGGAGGGAGGGAGGCAGGGGCGGGCGGCGGGGGATGGGGCCAGCGGGGAGGTGGAAGCGATACCCACCGCCCGTATTGGTCCTCTTGGTGCTGCCGGCTTCAGGGGGGGCTTCCAGCGGCCTTTTCCGCGAGTCCGGCGGGTCCAGGTCTATGGGCACCCCAGTGTGGGTCCCGTTCTGCTGGATGGGAGCTGCCGCCATCATGTTTGCAGTTCCTGCCGCTTCTACGGGGAGAAGGTTCTCCCTTTTGTTTTGGCTTTTGCTTTTTTTTTTTTTTTTTTTGCCTTTTTTTTTTTTTTTTTTGCTTTTGGGGTTTCTTAAGGTTGTTTTGTTTTTGTTTTTGTTTTTTTTAATCGGATCAATAGAAATCTCTTTAAGAAAAAAAAAGCAATGTTGCTGGTTTGGTTTGTTCTCACTGGGGAGGGGGCAGGGCTGAAGAGCAGCTGCAGTGCAGTGTCAGGAAGGAGACAGGGGAATGGAGGGGGTGTGAGAGACGGAGGGAGAAAGAAGGAGAAGAAAGGAGAGAGGGGGAGAGAGTGGAGAAAGGAGAGGGGCGAGTGAATGAGCGGGAGGAGGGGAGCGGGGAGGACGGGCAGAGGGAGTGGGAGAGCGCGAGGGCTGGCGGGGCGCGGGGAGAAGCCGAGGAGGAGGGGAGCGCGAGGGAAAGAGTGAATGAGCAGGAGGAGGGGAAGGAGGTGGATGCGGAGAGGAGCGAGCGACGGAGGAGGGCAGGAGCCGGGAAGGAGCGCGGCGGTCCCCGCGCCGCGCTAGCGCTGCGCTCGCTCCCGCTGCTGGTGCTGCCGCCGCCGCCGCTGCCGGAGCGGTTCTGCCGTTGCCTGGGCTGCTCGGCGCTGCTGCTGCCGCTGCCGCTGCTGCTGCTGCTGCTGCTGCTGCCGCCCGGTCTCGCTCATTATTTCTCCCGCTTGTGTGTGTGGGGGGGGGGGGGAAGGGGGGAGGCTGGCGGGGAGGGAGGGGGATGGCTGAGAGGGGAGGGTAGTGAGGGGTTGAGTTCGCAGACTCCCACACACTTCGCGCTCCGGTCCCTGCCTCTCAGCAGCGCCGCCGCCGCCGCCGCCGCCGCCGCCGCCTCCCTACGCCGAAGCCTCAGCCTGCGGGGGCGGGGTGGGGGGGGCGCGCCTGAGGGGGGAAGAGTGTGCCTGTCTGCGCGGGGGTGAGAGCGCGCGCCGGCGGAGCGCGTGCGCGGGGGCGCGCGCCGGCGGCGGGGGCGGGGCCGGGGGCCGGGGCGCTCCTGTGGGAAGGGAGGGGTGAAAGGTCGCGGGTCCCCGGCAACACGGCTCAGGCAAACGTAAGCCGCTTGTCGCAGAAACCGAGGGGGTCCAAGAAACGCGCTAGGCTGGAAGGCGGGAAGCAGACGTTACTGACAGCCGTGCCAGCCAGTAGTATGGAAACGTGAGAAAGGCTCTTCAGGCCCCTTCCCAATCAGGAAACTTGGGTATGAGAGGGAGTGAAGGGGTGGGGTGGCATCTCGGTCCAGCCGGGACTCGAGCGGCGACAATTTTGACTAGACTGAGAAGGGCATTCGAGTGACCGTTCTTAACGGGTGGGACAGCGTTAAGGCTGAGGGAGGAACCTTAGCCGTATGCTTCCAGGACTTCTAGCTAGGTACATTCGTTTTTAAGAGTTAGGTGAAAGACAGTAGTTAGCCTCTCACTCAAGGGCGGATTTACGGAGTGATTTCATCAAGAGTATTACTCGCACAGTGTGACTTCGTTAGGGAACTTGAAGTGTCTCACTCGCCGTCTTAGATCCTTTCGGAAACAAGCCAGGATATAAATAAATAAAGCTAGGTAGGAGTATCCCCTTCACGAGGCGCCGAGAGGCGGACTAAAGACAGGCAACAGCTGGGTGTGTATCCAAAACTAAATTCCGAAAGAAAAAGGAATATACGAGTAAAATGCAGCGCAATGTGCACATCTTATGATTACACAGATCTCGGATATACAACGAACTTAAAGCTCAACCAGAACACTACAGACAAGAAAATACATATTTGGAGTAGACGCTGAATGTCGGAAAAGATTCCGTTTACAGATGAGTAAACTGACCCAGTAAAGTATTTTGCTCAAGGTCATCCATCAAATTAGTAATTAAATCAGTGTACTAGGAAGCAGTGATAGTGGAAAACCATGGGCTTTGGAGTTCAGAAATCTTGGTTTCAAGTTCCTGGCAAGCATATTCTAAAAGTATCCTCAGACAGCCCCTTAACATGTTGCTGTATGTATTAAGGGCTTTTACCATGTGCCAAGCAACCAACTTCACATGTGCTCTTTACATGCGGTGTATCATGTACTTATTACTGTCTCCGTTTAATGAGGCAGTTTGGGTTTAGAGATATTAATAATTTTACCTAAATCACAGTGGTGTGAACACAGTAGTAATAATTCAACCTAAAGTCGTCTTGATTCCAGAGTCTGTCCACTTGAATACTGCAGTACACTGGAGCCTCAGGTTCCCCTCCCGCAAAATAATGGGTCTTTACCTCCTGGAATTCTTGAGTCAAATGAGATAATATTCGTGGCAACGTATTGTAAGATGTAAAAACGTATGAACATATTCACTAGATTTCTAGAACAAAGATGCTCCTTTCCTATAGGTTTCTAGAACAGCACTTGAACGTGAAAACGGCTTTAGTATCAAGCTAGCTCGGAAAGAACCTCACTCTGATTGACCAAGAATACTTGCATAGCTGAGGCAATAACGGAATAGAATAAAATTTGATTTCTGGTAGATAGAGAAGGGAATGGAAAGAATACTAAACCTGCTTTTAGCATCCTTTATTGGAAGGAGCATCTAGGTGGCATTGGGATTTCTGGTACTTTTAAGTAATAAAAGACGACACTCAGCTGAATGAGGAAGAGAATAACGTTTAGTTCGAGAATAAAAATTCATCTGGAATATGAAAAACACGTTTGCCTTAAGTCAGGGAAGAAGATGCGCTGAGAGCTGAAAGGGAAAGCAGGTAAGTTAGTACATATTGGTAAAGGTCTGTGAACCAAAGTCCAGAATTTCGATCTGATGTATGATGTTATAGGAAGCCACAATATAGCCCTCATGACCAAAAATAAAGAGAATTTACACACAGAATGGATGTTTTTTTTTTAACGAAGGGGAAGCTGTGATGAGAAAAAAACAAATGTGGTTTGGAATAAGCCTGTGGTTGTCAAGATAGAAAAAAGGCTGATGCCAGATATTACACAAAGTATTCTGTGAAAAATGTGCAGACATTTTTCATAAATTGAAAGACATAGTTTTCATAAATTAAAAAGTAGAAAAGGGATTTGCAACTAGATTATTTCAAAACAGTAAAAGATGAGGGACAAAGATAACTCAAAGATAGTTCAAAGCTATATTACATGAAGTCTGGGCAAAGTGTTCAGTAGAATGTAGTTTTAAATTGGGGAAAGACTTAAGTTTTAGAACTGGAAAACTTGGGGTTCACAAATTTCTAAAAAGAAATAAAATATTTCTAAAATAATTGGAAAAATACTTGTCAGTGCTGTGTGTAAGTTAGATTCAAAATGAGCCTTCTAAGTGAAATTGCCTTATAGACATAAACCTACTGAAATAGTCATGGCACTGTATTCTTATGGTATTTATTTGCCCCTTCTCTTATTCATCTTTAGATTTAATATTTAAATACTGTTGACCACTACATGGGGCCCAGAAGCAGAAGATATGGTTTTTAATATGGATATGTGTGTGTGTGTGTGTGTACGCACGCACGTGTGCATGCTCAGTCTCTCTACGGTCTGACTCTGTGACCCCATGAACCACAACCTGGCAGGTTCCTCTATCCATGGAATTTTCCAAACAAGAATACTGGAGTGGGTTGCCATTTCCTACTCCAGGGGATCTTTAGGCTATCTCATAGTAAGCAAGCTGTGTTATGCCAGGAATTAGACACTCTCCTAAGTCTGTGACCTAGTTAAACATCTAAGGATCAGTCAGCTCTGAGATGATTTGATCAATGAAGTTTATCAGAGTGTACATTCTAATTAAGCCTCTATTCCCTAGTATAGTATATTTTGTTGTCTTTTTTAAAAAATTATACTTCATTTCTCGCTGCATATACCTCTACCATTTTGATCAGATAGACAAACATTTTACCTGTTGTATTATGCATTTTGTCCCAGCTAATAAAACTGAAGAAATAAAAAGGTAAAGCGCCTCCCAGTTTATTATTAAGCTGCTGCACAGCATGCTATATTATGATACAGCATGCTATACATCTTATGCTGCAAATAAACTGAACTTTCCAAAAATATAATAGAAGCACTTGACCTTTTAATTCTCTGAAAAGAAATAGTTTATTTTTTAATTAACCAGGCAATTGGCACTGCAAATTTAATAATGTTTTTCAGATCTTAAGACACAATAGAATTTGTGTGCTTTTTGTTAACTACTTGATGACTTATGAACATAAGTAACTATGATAGAAAATGGTATTAATCTGAAGAACAAAATGCCCAATCTTTATTGACTTTCATTGGATATCCTTTTCCTTCCTAAATTTCAGTCTGAGTAACAAAAGATAATATATTTTTGGTAATAATGATTGGCTTTTTAGGGAAATCACAGATAATTGATATCCACAAGTATACTCAAGCCTATTTCTTTGTCTCCATGTTCCTGTCTTTCCTACAATCAGTTCTGTTACTAAAGAACATAAATACTGAGTATTTCTCTGCAGCCTAGGCTTTGGGAAAATATTTTCTGAGTTTATGGTCTACTAAAAGCAGATCCTGAGTTAAGGATTCAAGTGCAAGTAGTTTACTTTGGAAGTGATTTCAGGAAACAGTAGGATCCTGGGGAAGTGAGACAGGGAATGGAAGGGAGGCAATGAAGGGTGTGAATTCCCCAGCAAACTATCACTGTGAGCAAACAGAATCTCAGTGAGATTTCCTGAAAAATCACTGAAATGGTAACCTCAGAATTATCCCACTGAAAGCCTGAGAAAACAGGTGTATATATGCACAACTCTCTTCAGTCACTGGTCAGGGTCTATTTATAGGGTGCATTTATTCAATGCATGCTGGCCAGTCTTCCAACTACAAGAGCAGCATCTTTTTTTGAGGACTTTCTATGGAGTCTGGAGGCTGTTCTGTCCTTACATAGGCTGAAAATGCTGTGGAATATCCCCCACCATTTTGGAAAATCAGGCCAGTGTGCTCTGAATGATATAC